GGTATTGTAAACCTCGTGCGGGGTTATACAAATAAAGATTTTCGAAAATATGCCGAGGTTCATCGAGAGCCGCACGTGGAGATCCTTTCAATATTTTTTCTACTTCTTCTTTGACTGTTCAGTTCAAGGTGGAAGACGTCTTTTTCCCTTTTATCTCCTACTTCCTTGAAGAATACTGCTTTTCCACTCTATGATTCGTTTATATGTCCCGTATGATAACGGCTCAGAAGAGACTTGTTACTCTTCATGTCAATAAACTACCACACATCGTCGCTGAGATTAGGGAGGTTCATTACGGCTATAACTTTTGCTTCTTCCGATGTGAAGGCGTCATAGAAAGAATTTGCGTCAATATCCGATTCAAGTCTAAAAGAGGACGGCGAAACTAGCGACTATGAAGCTTACGCGCAAAAGCTGAGTCGGCACTGGCCGATGCCTTAGACCTAATCGTACTGTTGGAAGGGCCCTGCCCTAGGCTTCAAGCATTAGCAACGATGAACTGCCAACCGCAATGCCGAGTCAAACTGCCTTGAGTGCTGCTTCTAGGCCTATTTCTGTCCCAATATGTCGGCCTTCAAAGCTCCCTCTTCTCTTAATCCCGACATTTACGGGGAACGTGTGGAAGCGGGATAACTTTTGGGAATTATTCAATACAAACATACATTCTTAGGACCTGCCTGGAATGGTGAAATTCAACTACCTGTTGAACGCTCTGAAGGCAAGAGCTCGAGAGTCAATACGAAAATTCCAGGTCACCAGAGAAAATTACAATAGAGCGATAGAATTCCTTTTGGCTGAATACAATAGTAAGGAGGACCTAGTCAATACCTTAATAGATCAACTTGACGCTTGCGCACTTAGAAGCCTGACTATCAAGGCTCAGCGCAGTCTCTTTGAAGAGATTCAAGTAATCGTGAGCCAGTTAAAAGAGAAAGGGAACATTTAAGCAGTATATCGCATCCGAAAAACGTCCTCACAAAATTTCCATACAATGTCAACCAATTACAAGAACACAGGAACTGCCCAATGAAGTCCCCTGCACTATGCTTGAATCATTTCAATATCTAGAGGATGTACTGTCGACAGAAAAGATGTTTCTTCCAATTTTGGAGAAAAATTCGAGTCAGCAACGTTCACAGACTATCGTTGGAAAATAAACCTCTACAGCAGGAAAGTACTGTACGTGCTGCAAGGATAGGCATGCGCCAGGGTTTGTCAAAGGTATCATACCCCTGAGAGCGCTTTCAGTATCTCCGTAACAATAAGTTCTGCTTGATTTGCGCTTCAGCATCACACAACTCTTTTTAATGTAAAGGCCGACCATGTTTCCAGTGCAAAGCTGCACAGTACATCATGTTGTTTTAAGATAGGAACGAGAGCAGCACCGAGGCATAGAATAGAACCAGTGGACAGTAACCCAAATACATCATTGAAACCTCAAAATAAAAAGATTAATAGGTCCTACAAAAGGATAACAGAAACGCTCCCTTATCACAGTCTCATGATAATGTTTTAGATGGTTGGTGCATTAGTTCTTCTCCCGAGCTTCTTTGTAAATATCTCAATAGCGCAACTGCCTCAAAAAAAGTGATATGCACCATCACCATCTACTCCTCGACACCAACGCCAAGGCAGCTTGTCGATTCCATTTTCCTAAAGTGCGAGAAAATGATTTGTCGTCGTCGAGTGCTTTTCTGACCTCACCCTCTCATGACAAACTTGCGAAAAATATGCGGCATTGCGATCTTCAAATGCAATGTTTGTACGTGATAGCTACACCAACATCCATGCAAACGGAATACCGAAGGGTCAATCACGGCGGAAAAAATATACGCATCACTGATATTGCCGCGTAATTAAACCATAAAACGATAACGCCGGGAATATACTGTAGGCAGTGACAGATCAGAAGCGCCCAGAACTGGCCAATCGTAAGAGCGTTCCGTTCTCTTCCAACAGGATAACTCCAGACCACACGTACAGTAGCGCTCAAAAATCTTCTATAAAATGGTTCTTCAGCAGTACTTTTCAGTCGTAACTCCTTTCTTACTGGATCTAATCATGCAAAATTTTGATAGGTGTAGCATGGGTGTATTGTGAATATTTACCACTATTAACTTGCAATCTGATCGTGTTCCAGATATTCCAAAGAGCATGAACTCAAAATCGACTGAAAATACAGATGATGGTCCTTCTAGAATCTCCTTCCTTCTTGTCATATCAAAAGTGTACGATCCGTAATGCCGAACACAATAGATGAAAAAACGCACATAAGGTGCGAAAAAGTGCGGACGTCAATAAAATTAATTTTGGCAAAATCTGTTACCGCAACAAACACATTGCTCTATCTGTGGATATTGCAGCTTCGCAGTCAAATAGTGTTGGGAAGGGTGAAATATGCTCTAGTTAAACATATCCGAATTTCGCGCGATTTGGTCTACTAAGAAAAAAGTTATGAACGAAAAAGCGTCGAAGCATTTCAGCGAAGAATTTTGAGCGCTACTGTATGTTTGACCACTCGTCAGAAATCGGTGGAGTTTGGGTTATCAGGGAACCACTTGTATACATTTCTGCAGAAGAAGAAACCGTTTAACCCGCTAAAGGACTGCAGAAAGCAACTGTGAGGGTTTTTTGAGTCTAAGTCTAGAACTCTCCATGAAAGTGGGATAATGAAACTTACAGGGTGCTGGAGAACCATTACTGAACAGAACGGAGAGTATACTGCTAGATGAACTTATTCGTGCTTTTAGAAATTCTCACTCAAAGATAGCTCAAAATCAGCGGAAACTTCCCGGATGACCCAATAACTGTATTATTTCCCAGATTGGTAATCCTCGGCATACGTCACAACACAGTAATTCAAGAGAGCAAAAATAGCTTGTCCGAACATAGGCTTGTATGAATTAAGCGAGCTTTGTTCGTCTAATCACTGCAAAACGAATAATTTTTTTTTGGCATTTTGTTCCCATTAACTCATTACGTCAGGGCGATATTCTCTACAAAAGCAATTTGTAGAGAATATCGCCCTGACGTACACTCACCTCGGTTAACAGCTGACTTCCAAATCATATGCTGCTCAAAATGCATCTACATTTCCTTCCAATCGTATGTTTTCCTTNCGTCAGGGCGATATTCTCTACAAAAGCAATTTGTAGAGAATAGAGATGTAGAGAATAGATGTAGAGAATACTGACGTACACTCACCTCGGTTAACAGCTGACTTCCAAATCATATGCTGCTCAAAATGCATCTACATTTCCTTCCAATCGTATGTTTTCCTTCTACTGTTTATTCAAGTAGATACCAATAAGCTTGTCCAACCGGTATATGTTTAGGTTCTTATAATAACCGCATTTCCTCCAGGATATACAGGTTTTTGAGAATAGTTTTTCATTTTGATGTCAATATTCAAAAAATATTTGTTTCAGAGAACTCTCCTTCAGCTGTTGACCAGATTGTCAAGGTATAATCTCCTAGATACTCGCTCCACATCTAACTATTGTAGTTCCTACCTGGAACTCTTTTGCTCTTCTTCTCTGACCATTTCTTCGATCTCGTTAGCTTCTGCGGAGCACGTTTTTTTGCAGTCTCGACCAACCATTGGCCACAACCGCGATGGATCCATTGAATACGTCCTGCTTATTGTTAGCGACCTGGATAGGGAATCAAGAGCAGATAACTGGACATGGAGAGCGGTCACTCGACAAGGTCGCTTGACGTTGAACCTGAGTGGTCGTAAACCGCAAGTGAATATAACGTGGGATTCGGAGAAAAACCTGACGTCGTAAGTGTAATTACTGAACCCGTATCACACCTGTATCACCTATCGTCCGAATGGTCATGGATTTTTTTGAGAATGGAGCAGTAACGTCTCCATTTGCTCCAAGAAAAAAACTTAGTTAGTCCAAGAAACATTTTGTCGAGAGGGATCTATTCTGTGGGCGTATTAATCACTTGCTTCTATACTGTTTCCTGTCTGGATCTAACACCCTGGATTGAAGAAAGAAATTCTATTTGAGCCATACCCGAGTCAAAAAGTAATTTCGAGAAATGCGTTCGCTTCAGGAATATGAATGTGAAAGGACGCGCTATGGAGTTATCCGACTTGTCTGTCTTCCATAACAGGATACTCACTCCTGACGATAGGACCGGATTGATTAGCGAAATCAAGGACGATAAGGTAACAAGCATCAGGCACAGGACCTCCACCCAATTTTTTTGTCATCTAATTGAGAAACGAGTCAAGATTATTCCTTGGGTATTCCTGAACTCTGGTCCAGGAAACACGACTGACGCTTTCAAGTGCGAGTGGATGACTATTAAGGATGATTTGCTCTACGTTGGAAGCCACGGTAATGTGAGTGAGATTTGTAAACGAAGAAAAGCAGTCATTTCAGCTTTTGATGGAGGAGCTATGGTTTCCAAGTTTTTACCACATGTGTTCGGATGACTTATACTGAATTTTTGAGTCGAATGAAACTTCGTCAAACTACTTCATATCCNTGCTCTACGTTGGAAGCCACGGTAATGTGAGTGAGATTTGTAAACGAAGAAAAGCAGTCATCTTAGCTTTTGATGGAGGAACTATGGTTTCCAACTTTTTACCACAGGTGTTCGGAAGACTTATACTGAATTTTTGAGTCGAATGAAACTTCGTCAAACTACTTCATATCCCTGATGACTATGGGATTCTGTCTATGATTAGCATTATTTTCAGGAGTTCAAAGGCAAAGTGACGCACAAAAATAACATGTGGGTGAAAACAGTCACACCAAGGGGAGAGGTAAGATTATTACAGAGGAATGTTACCCTTTTACGAAGAACTTTTCAATGGGTTGAAAAACTGATAATGATGCTTTCGAATAACTGCTAGTTCGAGAGATGGTTTTCACTTTGACAAACGCGTTGTCTTGTGTAGGACCCTTGATCTTATTGCACATCTGCTACTGCATTCTGAACTATATATGGGTCTCCTAACATAAATGCACTGAGTTGGTAGCCAGTCACTTCAAGGATTTCCCCAATCCTGCCGAGTTTTCAAGGCAACTGAAGTTCATTACAGTCCCGAAAAAATGAATGATTCACTCCGTAGGAAAAGTGAGGTGTTTAATTCATAATAGCAGGCGTAACCGGGGGTACATACCCTTATGCTGAGTATTCCCTAACTCCTAATGAAGCTACGCTCATTTTTCACTAGTTTGAAGGCAAGTCTCATCGCTGTCTTGCACCCACATCTGATTTTACCACACCTTGGTCATCACATCTACTTCTTTTCTTACATAATTAATAATTGCAATAAACCAGCTCTGCACAATATATGCTTATGCTTTTAGAGCGTAACAATAACATTCACATGATCTGTAACATTACGATGTGCTCTTTTTGAGAGCACTCCTGTCTTAATTCAATAACAAAAAGGTCGAAAAAATGAGTTTGCAGAGAGAACATGAACAGCATCCATTGTCTTCAAGGTAGCTGCGCTCACTGACCTGATTTCTTACCTTTTTTTAGTCTGTCCAAGTTTTTATTGGACAACGTTGTTTTTCGATATGAGTATACATCGACCGCAATGAAGTAGCAACTGCGGGCCTCTTCGAAATCAAGCATAACTTACCTCCCTTTACTTCACTTGACATCTCTCCCCATTCTTTCCGAGCTCCCACTTCCTTCATCCAAATGGGCAGAAGTGGAGTCTTCCTGATTGTTTTTACATTACAATATGAATTAAGGTAATCAACCTGAATTGGATTGATGTTTACGACAAGATGCGGGCAGCTGTTGGTATTTCCCAGCAAGGATATCTAACACATGAAGCTGTGCAGTGGTCGAAGAGTCAGAATCGTTGGTTTTTCCTTCCCAGAAAGGCGTCGAACACCAGCTATGTGGAGTTAGAGCATGAAACTAAGTCAGTTGGGCTTCATATCCACCATATACATCATATAATCATGCTTGCGTAAATGCGAAATGTTGAACGTTTTGTTTTAGGGGCACGAATCTGCTGATAAGTTCCCCGGATCTTGAACATTTCACTTTCGTAAAGGTGGGACGACAGTTCCCTGAACGAGGATATTCCGCTTTCGACTTTATTCCTGGCACGAACGACGAGCTCATTGTCGCCTTGAAATCGAAAGAAGTAGCCGGAGAGAGAACTGCGTCATTCATCACTGTATTCAATATCAGTGGCCAGGTCATTCTAAAAGATGAGAGACTCGACGGTGACTACAAGTTCGAGGGACTGTACTTCATTTGAAGCCTCACTTCTACAGTTCCAGAAGACTTCTTACCAATAATAAATATTTACCTGTTAGCTCATTGTTGCTTTGAAGTCGAAAGAAGTAACCGGAGAGAGTATTGCGTCATTCATCTCTGTATTCAATATCAGTGGCCAGGTCATTCTAAAAGATGAGAGACTTGACGGTGACTACAAGTTCGAGGGACTGTACTTCATCTGAAGCCTCACTTCTACAGTTCCAGAAGACTTCTTACCAATAATAAATATTTACCTGTTATCGTCTTTTGTGTCAAATTGTGTTCCATCACGGAGCTTCCGTCACTATATCGAAGAACGTTGAACCAAGAATTCTCGGGATGTACACATCAGTGAATGATTCTGGATGATTCGACGGCGTCATGAATGGGGTAAATGCAGAGTGCATAGAGAGCCTATACCCCATTGTAACCTATGATTATCACAGGGAAATTCACTCTTCTACTTTAACTGAGAAGTTACACCATTTATGGTGTTTAGCAAAGCCGTCTTCAACAAATAATTGCGGTCTATCGAATTCCTTTTCAGAAGCTGTTCCCTCATGTAATAAGTTCACTTACTGCGACGATTAATGCTGATGGTGTATGGTGAGGAATTGAGGTAGTGTGCCTTTGTCATGGCAGAACTTGCCATAGATCTTTGGTGGTTCCGTTACAAATTGATAAATGGATGCACATGTATGTATACTCCACTGAACATCTAATGTCAAGCTCTACTACAACGGAGAAAACACCAAACGAAATGATGTGGCCACAGGATCAGCGGTCGGATCGCGACGGTGGGATCATATAAGAATGAATGATAATGAACAATGAAATTCGTACACCCACCGTAATCAGACTGCTAGGGGCACGTTGGGATTATATCTTCATTTACGATAATATAGTCTGAAATTCATTTCAACATGATGCTTCACTGAGATGATAGCAAGATTTTGCAAAATTTCGGGAATTTTTCCACTAAGCAATGCGCTAGCTACGCTATGCTGGCACAATCCGTCACTACATTTGAACATTGAGATGAGTTGGCAAATTCAATTCAATAAATTATACTCTGATACAGAATAGTCTCTATTCAACATTTAGTCTGCAAAATAGGTGTTTTTTGGAGGAAAAACGAGGAATTTGTTTGTAGACGCATGATCTGATGATCTAGATGAGTAGTTCACTACACTGCTGCATAAAAAGCTCAGGGATATTTCCAGCCTCTGTCTATGAATGTAACTCCTCTGTTATAAAACCCTCAGAAGAAACTATCACATGCAAAGGTTTGACAAAGTTTCTCAGCCCTTTGTGACTTTGTGACATCTGTCTGTCTTCCACGGATCTATCCTGCCAATTTTCATCTGTGATGCTGAGATTTTCTGGAGCTGACTTTCGTCTCTGCCTATACTTGGTCACTCCAGTGCACCATATGAATTCTATGCTAGAACTCCTGTTTGCATCTCTAAATAACTTTTTTCGAGGAACCTTTATTTGCTTGCATCCTTTTCATGAGCTTCCATATGCAGTCAAAACTGATTCCACTGATTCCATTTCCTACGAGACTCCTAAGCATTGGGCAATTTCATCATTTTTTTGCGAGCCGAGCGTCAGAGTCAGATGGTCGTAAAAAGTAATTCAGAGTTTTCTTTCTCTCTACATATCGAGCGAAGGCAGAACCTACGCCGCGCCTCGATAGCTCAGTTGGGAGAGCGTTAGACTGAAGACCTAAAGG